ACATTTTAGGTCACAAGACAAGCATCAATAAATATTTTTTAAAAAATAGAAATAATACAAAGCATCTTCTCAGACCACAATGCCACAAAATTAGAAATTAAAAACAAGAGGATAAAGGAGAAAAAAAAATCCATACATTTGGAAGCTGAACAACCCCTTGCTTGAACATGATTGGGTACTAGAAGAAATAAAAATAAAATTAAATTAAAAAGTTTCTTGATACAAAAGGGTCTGTTTTGTTTGTGTTAGTTTAGGTGAGTTATGAATTTCTACGTATTTGTCCATTTCCTCTAGGTTTTCATATTAGTTTGAGTATATTTTTTCCATAATATTCCATTTTTAACTTTATTATTTTAGTTGTTTCTGTTATCTTACCTGTTTCCTCATTTATCAGAATTATTTGTGTCTTTTCATTTGTTAGTTTTGCTAATAGTTTGTCAATTTTTTTGACCTTTTCAGAGAACCAACTCCTATTTTCGTTGACAGTTTCAATTGTTTTTTAGTTTTCTACTTGATTTATTTCTGCTCTAATTTTCATAATTTCAGTTTTCTTAGAGGGTGTCAGGGTTTTTTTGCTGTCTTTTTCAATTTCTTGGAGATGTTGGGATAAAGAGTCAATGGTCATTTTCCCCCTGCCTTTTGATGTATTTGCTTATTGCTATAAATTGAACTCAGATTACTGTTTTTTGGCTGTTTCCCAGGTATTTTGATAAGCAGTGTTTTAATTGTCATTTGTTTCAAGAAACTTTTTTAATTTTATTTTTTATTTCTTCTAGTATCCAATCTTGTTCAAGGAAGATGGTGTTCAGCTTCCAAATGTATGATTTTTTCTCTCTTTTATCCTCTTGTTATTAATTTCTAATTTTGTAGCACTGTGGTCTGAGAAGATGCTTAGTGTTATTTCTATGTTGTTGTTGGTTTTGTTTTTTTTTTTAATTTATTGAGGTTTGTCTAGTGACCTAAAATGTGATCTATTCTGGAGAACATGCACATTGGAGGAAAAGGTATACTATGCTTTTTTGGGGTCCATGAGATCTAGTTAGTTTATTGTGTGGTTTAATTCTTCAGGATCTTTGTTGAGTTCCTTTCTGGTAGTTCTCTCTTTTCTTGAGAATGGTTTCTTGAAGTCTCAAAGTACTATAGTGGTGTGATCTATTTCCTTTTTTCAGTTTTGTTAATTTTTCTTCTATATATTTTGCAGTTATTTCATTTTGGTGCATAGGTATTTATTGTTATATTCTCTTGTTCTATTGACACTGAGCATTATGTAGTGACCTTCTTTGTTGTTTGTGATGGTTTTCACATTGAAATTGATTTGATCAGAGATTAATATTGTTACTCCTGAGTTTTCCTGGTTGCCATTTGCTTGGTATTTTTTTCCCTCCCTTTTATTTTTAGTCTTTCTTTATCTTCAATTTTCAAGTGTATCTACTCTTATAGACAACATACAGATTGACTTTTTTTTATCCAATATGCTTCTTTTTTCCTCTTCATTGGTGCATTTAAATCATTCACATTCAGTGTGATTATTGAGAGACAAGGTTTTATTGCTATAATTTTGTTAAGTTCGTTTTGGTGTTGTTGCTAGTTACTTTGGTCCATCCTGCTTTCTGTGGCGGCACTTCTGTAAAAAGGACATCTCTCATTGTTTCCTGCAATGCTGGTCTTGTTTTTACAAACTCCCTTAGGTTCTATATCTCTGGAAATATCTTGATCTCGCCTTCAAATTTGATGGAAAATTTTCCTGGCTTCAATATTCTTGTTTGACAGCTGTGTTCTTTGGGTGTTTGATTGATGCCGTTCCACTGTCTTCTTGATCACATGATTTCTGCTGAGAAATTGACACGTAATCAATCATATCTGCTCTCCCTTTGTTTCTCCCTTGCTGCTTTCAGAATTCTCTCCTTATCTTTACTTCTGGCAAATTTGACTGTGATATACGTTGATGTTTTTCTTTTGGGATTTATTCTATGTGATATTCACTCAGCTTCTTGAATAAATATTCTCTCATTCTTCATTATGCTGGGAAAGTTTTCTTTTAGTAATTTTTCCACAGCTTTTTCTGCGCCTTACTTTCTTCTTCCTGTTCTGTGATTCTGATGATGCACATTTAATTTCTCTTGATAGTGTGCCACATTATTCTTATATTTTCCTTTCTTTTTGAGTCAGCTTTTTGTTCTAACAGATCAGTGATGTCAAGTCTATCTTTTATTTCACTATTTCTGTGTTCCATTTCTTCAACTCTGTTCATATGTCCCTCTATCATGTTTAAAGCATCTGAAACACTGGACTTCATATTTTGGATTTTGGTTTCTTGTTTTTCCAGAGCCTCTAATGTCTCATTTGTTTTAATTGCCCTATTTTGGATTGTTTTTTAGGCTCCTCCTGGTTTTTACTCAAAGTGTCCCATAATTCTTCAAGTTTTCTTTCACCCATTGAAAAATATTTAATCATTGGTTTTGTGTTTTTTTTTTAAAATTCTGTATCAGAAAGTTCCATCAGACTTTCTGGATTCAGGAAATAAATTGGCCCTGTTACTTTTTTGGGGTGACATCTTGCTTCGGGCTTGTGTAGGATGTTAGATAGCTTACTTCTTTCATGACATTGTTGTGGTAGCATTTTTCATGCCTGAGAACATAGTAGATTCTTTATCTGAACTCAGTGCTCCATAAGATGGTTGGACAGGCACACATTCACCGATACACATAGGGTGGACACATGCACAAATGCACATGCAGATGCATGTAGGAGTGGGGTTGTGGGTGCATGCACACAGGTGCATGGGGGAGGTGCAGGGGCCAACGGCACATGCAGAGAGACCTGAATGGAAAACCAGAAAGCCCTAGTTTTCCCCTTGAGAACTGGGATTGCCTCCCCAGTCAGGCTCCAGCAGTTTCACTCCCTCCTGCTTAAGATGAAGTTGTTCTATGTAGTCCATCAATCAGTAGTGATCTTTCCTTAAGTACCTCACTCAATTTCCTGCTGTTCTGCTTGCTCCTGGAAGGTGGGATCCCTGTCATCTGCTGCTCCCCACCATGGCTTGCTGCTCCCTGCTGAGGGTTGCTGCTCCCCATCAAGGCTCGTGGGTCCCCACTGAGGCTGTCTGCTCTCATGGGTCCCAAACTAATTGGTTTTAATAACAGATCTCACTCAAATTCCAGTTGTCTTCTCTCTCAGTAGTAGATTTTTTTTACACAAATCATTTTCAAGAATAAAATCTTAAGACCCTGTACAATCAGGACAAACATAATGATGTTTTCAATCTGTGTGTTGCCTGTTGAGACAGATTCTAATGAATATATCCAGGTTCATCACCATACCTATCAAGATTAAGATAAACAGGGGAAATATAGATACTTTGTTAGAATGGCTTGGCATTTTTTAAAAAAGAAAAGATTGATGGCTTACTGACTGACCAGATTTTGAGAGATTTGGCCCATGATGCCATTAGCCTGGTCCACTATGTCACAGGGACCATCCACAAGGTCAGTCAGTAAAGCAGTCCAAAGAGCAAGCAACTGAGGGATTTGCTTCATTAAATTCTGCAAAACCAGAAGCACAGAAGGGAGGCTGTATAAAATGAACACTGGAAGCTTATAAAGATGCATTCGTTAACCATTCTGCACCTTCCTGGAAATATTTTTTACATAAATTTTATTTAACCATTTACTAATAAATTTTCTTTCTGTTAACATTGAAATTGTCATTTTAAAATGTCCTGATTTAAAAAAAAATACCAATTTATACTATTTAAAACAGAACCAGAAAACCTCCAATAAAACTTCAAATTACTTACCAATGGAAAATCTACTGCAAAATACTTTTTAAAACATAAGAAAACATAGTCATCTCAATAATTAAAGTATACCTGACTAAACCATGCTATTTTCAATATATAGGAGCTGCTAGACATATAAGTAAATCTTTCTTGGAAAAGACACCACTACGTGTTCCTTAAAGACAATGGTGGAAATGAATAAACAAACATACAAACAAATAAATAAATAAAGGCAATTGTGGCAAGAGTTTGTTTCATATATTTTTCACTCGAATTCAAAGAGGTCCTCTAGAGAAGGATACCATGACAAGATACAATGAAGAGGTCCTCTGGAGAAGAAGGATGTCATGTTAAGAGTTGAAACTAACTTAACAGCAGTGCTTGTTTATTAGGTTTTTTCCTGATGAAGGCTAGGTGTTTAAGGGGGTAGTTGTTAACCACATTGTTGGCAGCTTGAACCCAGTTACTGCTCTCAGAAATAAATCTATGAAAGTCTGCATCCATAAAGAATAGTAACTGTCTTCCATAGAGAATAATTACCATTGTAACCACTCCATAGAGACTGGTTGCTATGAATTGGAATTGACTCCATTGCAAAGGGATTTGTGATTTCTATGATTTGTATAGTATCCCTATGTTGTAGTTACCTTTTTATTTGTGGTATTACTGCTATGGTTAATTACACTGGAAGAGATTTCCCATTTTTTCTCATTGAGCAGCAGGTGAATTTGAACCAAGTGCCTTTGGAATTGCAATGCAGCTTCTTACCATTTTTTTTTTATTCTCTTTGTATTTCAATTTGAGAAGTTTCTATTAGTAGAACTAGGTGTGATGATAAGAAACTGTGCTTCAATACCAAGGGCACACAGTTCAAATCCACCAGCTATTCTACAGAAGAAAGATGGGCAATCTCTTTCCATGGAATTTACTGCTTCTGAAAACCTTCTGGACGGTCACCTCCAACTCTATGATACTCAAATAAACAACAACAGAATTACACACACGAGGAAAATATCTGAAGAATAAAATTTTTATTATTGTCCTCTAGATAATTATATACAACATACAGAAAACCTGAAAATGAAGGTGAAAAGAAGACAAAATTAGAATGAAGAGATCAAGTTGAAAATGTGGTGCATATCTGCTTCTTGGTGATATCTTCTCCATAGTTTACAAGTTCAAGATGATCACACCTTTCCCAGCTGCTACCTTTACACTTTTTCTAATTCTTGAACTCGCAAACATATAGTAACCTTTGTTCACAATTATAACTAGGAATCTTAGAGAGACAGATTGGGAGCATGAGTGACATCCACTTCCTAAACAACATGTATCTAGAAACTCTATGAACTTTGAGAAAAGACAATAGTTATAAAAAGGCTTCAGATCTTCTATTGATAGGGTCACTGTGAGTGGTGCTTGACTCATCAACAATCAACAACAACAACAAAGAGACAGAACAAAAATTTGGGTGAAGCTAGGGGAAACTTGTCAGCTAAAAGAAGGGAATTACATATTCTATCACAAGATTCAAAGCCTCACCACAGTCCTAGGCTAAGTAAAATAGTAACAAAGAACAGAGAAAGAGAAGAGGGCTGGAAGAAAGAAAAACATAAGTTAATCCAGCAGCTTGCAAGAAATCTTGAAAGGTTTGGCCCAAGGAAGGTGAATGAGGGGGTGGGGGCAACTGGGCAAAAATTGCTTTTTATTTCCTGTGATCCTTGACAGGCTCTCACAGTGGCCATGGTTTATGATGGTGGAAGGATCTTTCTTCCATGCAAAATAATATAGCACACCTGTGTTTCTCCACTCCCATCCACCACCATTGAGTTCCAACCCCTATATAGTAGAGTATGCAGGCCAGTGAGATAATGCCTAGTTACCATTGTCTTTTCATGACTCTTTTAGCTAAAATACAAGATCACCACTCTAACAATGGAATTACCTGTTCTTCCAGATAGTCTTATCAGACCAATCTATTCCAGAAATCACACTTAATTGTTGTTTGTTGTGGTGGTAGGGGGTATTTTTGTGTTCTGTTTTGTTTTTATTTCAATGCCTCAACCAGCAGAAATCCCCAATGTACATTGTCTGAGGATAAAGAATTATGAATCTTGCATTGTTAAGGATTACCTTTCTGAGCCTTAAAACTCCACAGGAGGGAAAAATACTTCATAACTTGGAATCTCCTAGGATAGTTAACTTGGGCCTATGGCGCTCAAGAAATTAATTTACAAGCCCTCCAAAATTCTATAAAATGCTTCAAAAAAGCAGATGCAAACACTGTGGAACATGGTCTGGCACTTTCTAAAAAAGTTGCAGATAGAGATACCATTTGACCCAGTAATTCCACTACTGGGAATATACCCCAAAGAGACCATAATCACCATCCAAGCAGATATATGCACACCCATGTTTATCAAGGCTTTGTTCACAATAGAGTTGGAAATAATCTAAGTGCCCATCCAGTTTGTTCACAATAGAGTTGGAAACAATCTAAGTGCCCATCAACAAACGAATGGATAGAGAAGCTGTGGTATATTCACACAATGGAATACTACGCTGCATTGAAAAATAAGAAACGCATGCAATATTATTCAAAATGGGTGACCCTGGAGGACATTATGCTGAGTAAAATATCTCAGTCACAAAAAGACAAATACTGCATAGTGCCGCTGTTGTAGAATGGGACTGACTTCAGGGTTGGGGTAAGACTAAGAAAAACTGGATAACTCATGTATACTGCATTGAAACAGACGAGGGAGAGAACAGTTTAAAAGCAATATATGATAGGGTATTATGGTTATCACAGGAATCCAGAATTAAGGTTGCATAGGGGAGTGCATTCGGGGCCGAGGGCAGGGGTATTGTATACCAATGAAGGAGTTTATCTTTTGCTTTTTGAAGAGAGGAGTGAACTGAGGGGGGTAGGGGGGAGTTGAGAGAAAAGTGCAACAATGAATGAATGAAAATCCAAAATCTCTGTAAATGTTCAAAGGATAAAAAACAAAACAAAACAAAAACCCAACCAAACAGATGACTTTTAGCTATAGACCACAGACCCAAATAATCCATCTAATCTGAAGCACTTCTTTTACTCTATTCCATATGCTCCCTGAGCTTTAAGAGCATTGTTTATGCAGGAACAAGGAACAGCTGTCAAGGTCATATGATAATAACAAGTTAAGTTATAAGAGAGAATACATTCACACCAATGTGGGGTAATGGAGTCCAATACAGATATTTATATAAGAGTTTGAAATGCTCTTCATCAAGGAGGCCACAAAGGATCCCTCAGCTCCACTGGCCAAAGACACAAGATGTCCTGAAGACCACTTCTGATAGGCCATCTGCGTGGACAATGAAGAGACTATGAAGGAATTGAGAATTCTCTGAGAGAGTCACAAGGAGGAAGGAGATGAGAAAGGGAGTGTGTGAGATATGTAGCTGAATGTTCTTGCCCACATTGCACTCTGGAAACTGGAGGCCTCTCTTTCCTCCTATGTGCATTCTACTGTGACTCCATTCACATATCATGTTACATACATTTGCTTCCATCCAGGCTTTTGGTGTCAGAAAAAAGGCATAGCAGTAGGAACCATAGGCTTTGGAGCCTCCAGGACAACTGATGCTTGCAGACAGTTGTTCCATTTGAGCATCTTTAGCTGGAGTAGAAAAAAGAAGAAAAGCAAAACAAAACAAAACACAGAGGAACGTGCTTAGTAAATAAAATAAAATAACTGGGGAGGGGAAATTACAGAAGTATTTATCGTTGAATAAAATATGATTACAAGATTAGTACATGAAAAGTAAGCCCCTCTCAACTTTGCCAACTCTTTCAGGATTCCTTGGTCTTGAGAAACTCTCTCAAAATTGGAAACCATGTACATTCTTTTTGAATACAAGTCTTTCTGAATGTCTCCTCATTGAGCAACCAATCAACTCTCTTTTTCTCTTCAACTGTTCAAAAATAACTGGAGATCTTGGGGGGAAAAGGAAATTATTTACTTTAAAGTCTATCAATCATTCTGGTGCCTCCTAAAAGTAGTCAACCTGGAGAAAGTATTATTATGGGGGAAATTTCAGAAAATTTACTTATGTGATAAAATATACCGACAATATAGCAAATATGTAAAACATGCACCATGTAATACTTTGTAGGTTTTGCCTCTCCTTGAACTTCCACATTCACAAGAAATCTAGTGTAAGAAGCAGAAAAATCTGACCTTGGATTTGTGACAGGAGCATCAGGCAGGAAAGCAACATCCAAGACATACTGGGAAGGGCCATGGAGGGCAGCATCCTACTACCTATGCATTGATAATACAACTAAAGATCACCAAAGGAAGGATAAGAGAGTTAAAGTAGATATACCCATCCCCTCCCATACTCTTTTCTTTTCTTCTAAAGGTCTGTGAAGAATTTACTTTGGTTACGTCTATCCCTTTTTACAATTCTATAAATAAATGGGGAAACTGTATCCCTAATACTTCTAATATACTCCCTTGTTAAATGTGAACTGCTACAATCTATAAGGGCTATGGACTTCCTCTACCTTCCACTGTAGTGAGTGAGGAAAAATTGATCTAGGCCTCATCTGCCAAAGCTCCCACTTACCAGTCCTGCAGGGCTTGGGAATGGTTTGTTAGGCCAAGAAACTCTGGGCTTTCTACCATAGCTTGAGGGTGGGACAGTAATAGCAATACCAGAAATGTATAGTTGAAATATAGATCATGAGAAAGAATTGATATTAGGTCAAGGAACTTCTTGACATGAGGAGGAGACTTTTCCCAGCAGAGGTCAAGAATTTCACAGATACTTCCTAGTTCCCACTAATATGCCAGTTTTTTTGCCAGGAACAGGTAAAGTTTGCCCTTTACCCAGCTTCTCCCAAATTATCTGAAAGATTAATTCAAGGAATTATAACTGGCTTATGACACAAATATATGTTGATACTTAAATGGGGAAATGTGACAATAGATAGTTTAATAATAATAAAAATACATGTGCTTTTAAAAAATTAATCTTTCAGACTATCACTCTTGTTATAATGAATTTTAATTTCTTTCAAACATTTTCATTATGATTAAATATATGTTGTTATTGTTGTTGCTGCTATTGTTGTGTGCCATCAAGTCACCTGTAACAACAGCTCTGGAGCCTGCCCTATTTAGATCCAGTTTCATTGACACAGACACATCTATTCATATTACCCTAGTTACTGTGGCAATCCATCTCATTTGAGATTGTCCTATACTGGACTGTCCCTCCCCCCTTCCGAGAATGATGTCCTTGTCCAAGTACTGGTTCCTCCTGGCCACAAGCCCAAAGTACATGAGACAGAGTTTCAAACTCCTAGCCTCCAAGGAGAAACTTGGTTTCACCCTCTCTAAGACAGACCTATTCATTCTCTTGATGATCTATAGTATGTTCAAGACTCTTCTCCAGCACAACTCAAAGGCATCAATTCTTCATCTGTAATCCTCAATCATTGTCCAGCTCTTTGATGCATACTAAGTAATTGCAAAGACCATGGCCCAATTAGACACATCTTAGTCTCTAGACTGGCATTGTGGCTTCTCAGTACTCTGGAGAGGTCACTGACTACAGATGAAGACCTGAATGAAGTGCTGTGGCAGAAAATCAAGGGACTGTAGTCTTCAATATGGATTGAAGCTCAACATTAAGAAGACAAAGATTCTCACTACTGGGCCAATAGGCAGCACCATGAAATATGGAGAAGAGCTTGAAGTTGTTAACAGTTACAGCTTACTCAGCTCCGAAATCAACACTCTTGGAACCAGCAGTCAGGAAATCAAAAGAAAAATTGCACTGGAATTAAATATATACAATATAATATAAAAGGAGTTGATGAAGAGAGTACTTTACTTAAGGAGTAATAAAGAACTGAAGGCAGGAGTAGACCAAGTTCAGAATTTCTGCTTCAACGTATAAAAGGCGTGAAGCATGAAGTAAACGCTTAACAGGTAAAACAAGATTATACAGAACAGCAAAGAGAAAAGAGGACAAAGGTAAGAAGAATAAAAATAAAGTTAAATTATACAAAGAAAATAAAGAGTCAATACTGCTTAGAAAAGAGACATATTCAGTGGTGGAAGAGGATAGATGTAGATCTATACTGCACAGAGGAAACATTCTCCATTTCATTACTCCATGTTTCGCATAGTTTCATTGAAAATCTACCACATGGCTAAGATTGCAAGTCATCCCACTTGTTTTGATATTGAAGATTATGGCCCTTTCCACAGTGGAGAATGGGGCTACTGATAAATATTTCTGTATTCAGTGTAATTGTGAGCTGAAAATAGGATTCCTTAGAAACATGTTCTCAGAGTGAGAGCTCTTGACCAATGAGGATCTTCAAAACTTTAAGTAGCACAAAGTTGCAGTATTAACCTTAAAATATTATCTGGTTTATCACTATGCTGACCCTTGCACTGATGATATAGAAACAATGTAAAGTAAAACCAAAGCTTTGCAATTAATACTAAAGGCATCATCCCTAATTGTATATTTATTTGCAGTAGATGTACACTTTTATTTTATAACATAGGATAATCAATAAAGATTATTTATTTTAGTAATTCTCAGTGCTAATTTGCTGTCAATTGTGTTCTATCCTATACAAAACCTGTAAGTAACAGAACAAGACCATTCTCACAATAGCTACTGATGTTGGTCTCATTGTTACCATCATTACACTCTGATTGAGTGTCTTCCTCTTACTAAAATGGCCCTGCATTTATTCTATTTTCTCTTTTTTGGTATTTTTATTGTTTTTATTATTATTTTTTGTTTTGTTTTATTAAATTTTATTAGTATTAATGAACATTTACAAGGATTTTCATTCCTTCATTGCTATACCATTCTCTCTACCCTCTTCCCCAGTTTGTTCTTCTTCCCCCGCCCTCCGAATGTCTGTTTTAATTGTCCAATTGCCACAGTGCTTGTCAAAGTCAGTTCTGTTTAATCTCCTTTGTCAGTGTGTCCTTTGCCATTCCCTATCACTCCTCCCTGAGAGAGACTTCACCCTGATTCATAAGGAAAAGGGGATGGCGTATTCTCTTAGCTACTTCCTGCTGAAAAGGGACGCTGTGGGTTTCAGGGTGAAGATCTTCTCTCACTACTCTAAAGGGCCCCTTTGGCAGTAGGAAACACATAGACTATTTTGGAGATTTATTTTGGAATTTAGATGCACTGTTATTAATTGTGCTTAGCCGCACATGTTCATATCTTTGAAGATGTATCATGGGGGTGTTGCAACCTAGAAGACACAAATTTAACTAACAATTTATAAGTACATGAGTCAAAAGTTATGGGAAAGTAAAAGAAAAGATTCTTTCATTGTTTTACAAACCCTCCCCCAGGTCCCCTCCACCATGTATCCGTTGCTCTAGGCTCCTGTGATGACAGAAATACCTAGTCACATATCTCTTTTAAACAGTTTTCTCCCTCCTCTGTTTCAGTGCAGTATACATTATTGAACCCATCTTACTCAGTCTCTCCCCAACCCCGAGGTTAGTCCCATTCTACAACAGTGGCATCATGCAATATTTGTCCTTTTGTGACTGGGACATTTCACTCAGCATAATGTTCTCCAGAGTCAACCATTTTGAATAATATTGGATGAGTTCCTTGTTATTATTATGCTAGTTTATTTACAAAATTTGAATACACTGTTTTTCACATAAGATTTTTTCCAATTTCTCTCATTCTCCCACCCATCATATTGTACAATCCCATAATTAATCTCCTCCCCCAGCACATCCTCATTTCTCTGCTTCCACCCTTCCCCTCGCCACCCCTTGGATCCTCATATTCATTCTATGATAATTGTTTTATATAATAATTGTCTTTTGGGGACTAAGTTCACTCAGTATAGTACTCTCCAGTCCCTCACAAGTTAGGAAATAATTTACAAAATCATTGCTTCTCTGTGCTGCATAGTATTCCATTGTGTGAATTTACCATAATTTCTCAATCCATTTAATTGTGGTTGGACATCTGAGCTATTCCATGTTCTGGTAATGGTGAATAACCCTGCTGTGAACATTGTTGTACAAGTGTCTGATTGTGCCTCAGTTCTCATTTTTTCAGGATATATTCCAAGCAGTGGAATAGCTGGATCATTTGGAATTTCTATGTTCAACTTTTTGAGGAAGCGTCAAACTGCTTTCCAGAGTGGTTATACCATTGTGCAACCCCCAATCATGTACAAGAGTTCCTATGTCACCACATTCTTTCCAATAGTAATTAATTGCTGTCCTATTAAACTTTGCCACTTTTACTGGAGCAAGATGGTATCTCACTGTGGTTTTGAATTGCATCTCTCTTATTACCAGTGATTTGGAGCATTTCTTCATGTGTCTGTTAGCCATTTGAATATCTTTCTCTCTAAAGATTCTTTCCATGTCTTTTGCTATTTTATAATTGAGTTATCAGTCTTTTTCTTGTGGAAGTTTTAGAGTACTCTGTAAACTTTCATTATTAGATTCTTGTCTGAGATGGTAATTACCGTATATTTGTCTCAAGTTGGTAAATTTTCTTTTCATCCTGTTGGAAAAAGGTTTTGATGTCCACAGGAATTTAATCTTTGGAAGTTCCTATCAATCAATTTTATCCTCTCCAGAATGTACATTTCTGGCTGTATTCAGCAGTCTCTTTATACCATAGACTAGGACTTCTAAGCTTCATCACTGTTTGTCTCTTATGAACTTTATGGTTTGGGACTTTACTTCCTGGTTTCTGATCCATCTTGAGTTGGTTTTTGTGTATGTTGTGAGATGTGGATCCTGTGTCAGCATTTTGCAGGAGGAATTCAAGTTTTGCCAGCACTGCAGTTGTCATTTCCCCATTTGATAGGTTTAATTTCCTTGTCAAATATCAGTTAACCACAGATGTTGTTGTTTTTGATTGCCATCAAGTTGAGCAAGACTCATAGTAACCCTATGAACAAAAGGCCTTAAGCCCTTCCACAATCATCCCCATTTATCAAAGTTCACAGAGTTTAAAGAGGGATGCTGTTTAGGAAGTGGATGCCACACTTGCTTTCCAAACTTCTCTTAAACTGTGAGCTACCCCAGACACTATCCATCATGGGTAACCATTATGTAATTTGACACCCCAATGGCACAAGTTTCAGCATCACAAAAACCCCAAGTTACCTCAGTACAACATATTGACAGAGTATGCTGTACCACTGAAAAGAATGTTCCTCCAAAATATAATAACAACTGACTTTTAAATACAAAAGCCCTCCCCAAGTTCTTGTTAGCTCTAAA